ATCTAATGTAAGATGCTCAGGGCGCTTGATATGTGGACTAGGAACTCGATCAATGACTTTCTTCGCCCCTAAGGTGTCTGTGCTACCCGGTAACCCGGTACCAGCAACTCTCGTCGTCCACCACAGGGGTTGTCTGTTCCAGTACACAGGGGTAAAAGATTCAAGATCCAATTTATTGTCATAGGCCTTATAAAAATATACATGGAACTTGTTTTCCTGATTCTACACGATTTTCCATACACATCATAATAAATATAAATACACACAGAACACAATAAAATAATACCAAATAAACTGTTGTTAACTATATAAGGTACAAAGACGTACTTAAGAGGTTTGCTCAGTTAAAATGACCAAAGTGATTGGTTGAAATTAATCGGATTATTAATGATTGTTATTTTACTTTTTTTTAAGATGATGAAGAAATCATGTCAAAATGTTTATGTGTTCCCCACGAAAGATAAAAAGCGAATGTAGGAAAAATGGCCCAGGTAAAAATAGCCCAGGTAAAAATAGCCCCAAATGACAGGTAGGTAAAACAGGCCCCAGTAATAAAATTCTATCTTAAAACTGATTTAAAAAAAAATCATTATATACCTTTTTTAACTGAAATTATTTAGTTTTTAAAAAATATCTAACATCAAATAAATTGCCATTTATATTTTACTTTTTGTAGGAATTACATATTCTTAGATAAAAAAGAATTAAAAATAACATTTTTTTTAAATTTAAATGTTAAAAAATATCAACAATTCAATCAATAAATCAACTATAAATCATACATTTTTTAATACTTAAATAATTTAGTTGTGGCCAATTTTACGGAAGCGAAACCACAATTTTCCTGAAATTTTTAACTTCAATACGGTATGGGTATTGCTAAATCCGGCAAAAAAAAAATGTTATGAACATCAAATTATTATTTTTAGATAAAAAGAGAGTTCTACAATCATAATTAAATGATTTGGATGGGGTTCGTGGTGTGTTTTTTGAGGTTTGTGGTGTATTTGCAGGTATTTAAAAAAAATCAACATTTTAATCAAAAAATAGGCTCTTATGAATGTATTTAATTTTCTTCTTGATATACCAAGTGAGTCAATCATAATTAAATGGTTTGGTTTTCTACAGTGTGCTTTGGGAGGTTTGTGGGGTTTAGCAATACCGTACCTTCTAACCCTCACAATTACACGCCATTTTAAATCTTAGAATAATTACCATATTTACATAACAATATAGGCCTATATGTATATCTATATAGGCCTATATTGTACTAAGCAATACATTAATAATACATAAACTATGAAACAAATATTTAACAGAATACAGTGGAAATTAGTGGCAGCTAGTTGAACAATAATTTATATACTGTAATTGTGATGACAACAGGTTATTTATTACTTAATTTTTATTCATTTCAATGTAATTGTTCCTGCAAAAAGTAATATAAATGGCAACTTTTACCGGGGCCATTTTTACCGCACACCAAAAAAAGTATGTAAACAATTTACATTTTTCCCCCTTTGGACTTATTAATCAATAAAAAGGTACCACACCATTTTAATAATAATATGAGATTTCTTTCTTTTTTTGAAAGTGTGGAGGAGTTTTTATAAGGTAAATCTTACAGTTTAATATTTCGATCAGTGTTTATAAACATCACAGAATATGAAACATGTAAAATATTCCTCAAGATTAACCAACTTTTCTATTTATTTTACTATTGACTAGTTTCTATACTACCGACTTACCTGTTATTATTAATCTTAAATATAAATTTACTCAAGTATTAGGGAAACAATCGCAGTTTATACAAATAGAAAACGAGGTTATTTGGATAAGGAAGGCTTTAATTAATCCATGCAATAGAAAACATGCGTTTGACTGGAACATGTTTGGAATTAACTAGCCTCAGACACAATAACGAACACTATTTAACCGGATTTATTCTTATTTTATACTCTTATAATATATGTAATTATCTGGCTTAGAGCAATAGGATGGGAGTAAAAATACGATAATTCTTAAGTCATTAACAATGAAATTCCAAGGTGTTAAGTTTGCATTTGAATCTATAGAGACTCATAACACTTAGGTTATAATACGTAGCAAGTGTTCTTGCTTTGCAGAATTGTTTGATTGTGATCCGTTTTTACGGGAATTTTTTTTTCGACGTGCTTCGCCTTTCTCGCCTGACCTTCGCGGTAGCTTCTGAATTCCATTGTACCGGAAAATTCCTAGCGAAAATCTATATTCATAATATCGGATTCCTTTTGACTAATCTACCTCGAAAAGGTGTAATATACACGGACATTGAATAGAAAACTTTAATAGCATAATTAAGATGCATTTGGACCGTGCGTTCTTTATAACCAATAACAATTGTCCGTCGAATGCTTGATTTCCTCCACAAAAGCTTGGTAGCGACCAACAACACAAAAACATGCATTGATTTCTGTAATCTTACGAAGCGTGAAATATAGACTTTTTAACACGTGTTAAACACAGTGAGATGATGCGAACTTGTTGTGTCGTGAACACAGCGGCCGCGCGAGGAGCCCCATTCAACTATCCGTCTCACCCGATTAATTAATTGACACAACAGATACGTGTAAATTACACAGACTTATGATATTATTGATGATATTGAGCGAAATTTGTCGGACATAAGCATGTTTTACACGCCTGAATGACTAATAATTAATAACGACGATTAGGCTAAATATTAAATGTACGACTCGCCCAAGTGCTATCTTACTTATGTCATGACCACTACTAAAATACGCACGTGACCATTTTAACAGGTTGTTTTTTTTTTAATATTTACTTTTAATAATGGAAATTCCATTGCAAATTAACGTCTAGGCTTCCTTGACCTAAATGCATACACAATTAACAATAAAATCTACGAGTGACAGTGTATGGAGAGAGAAAAAAAACCCAACTCAGCACAAAATTATTTTAAAGGGTTCCCATCAGCCTACCTCTTTATGCAAGCTAAAGAAATTTTAGACATCCATCATTTTTGAAAGTTGTCAATCTTTTATTATTCTACCGTTTATTGTCCTAATTCTAACCCACAGGTCAGGGAAGGTTAAACTGGTTCAACTATTGGCTCTTATATAACCTTCATTTGGACGTGCTTCATAAATTGAAGCTTCCGAAATGACCACCGACTCGAGTTCAGCACGAAACTTTAGATAGAGTTTGGTTACCCAATAATAGATCTTGCATGTCTACAATTTCTGTTTGTCGAGCGAAGTTTTCTCCAAGGCCCGGAACCGTGCCAAATATACTACGGTATGTATGAATTAGAAATAATTGATAGTAAATTAATGATCAAGTTTTTGTTCTTTGCTTCAAAGAAGTGTCAGAACCTATAGGTGATGCCTATCAAAATTTTGAGATCGTGGAAGTTGTGGGAACGGGTACGCGGATCCAGATTATTTCATATATCACGTTTGGTTTACTCAGCTAGAGACAATTAAATATGAAATCAAGAAAATCTTTAAAACATTTGATTACAATTAATTTTATTATGAATTTATTTTTGGATTTATTTTACTTTTACTACTGAATTCTAATATTGGATGAAGGCTTTTATCATTCATTACCTTAACTTGAGATTTTAACTTCTTCGATGTCTTTTAACAAAATTCAATTTATTTTGTGTTGTAGATTAGCTTTTTATCATATTTTTAATTAAGTCTCTTTCAATTTTATTTATACGCAACTTGTTGATTTTCTATATATACTGTAATTTTGTATCACAAAACAGGTTGTTAAACCCTCCTGATATGTTTTCCTGAATAAATATGTTTACAAAATAAATAGTACAAATAATCACATACTATATTATTTACTTCTAACGAAACACATAGGCCATTTAAAAAAAAAATCATTTACATACTTTTTACTACAACAGTCCTTAACTTATTTTTGTAAGCTGAATTTTAGGGGGGTCATGCAAATAATATAAGAACATCCGTTAGGGTTTTATTGGTGAGAGAATATTCTTGGTCTATTTTTCAATTGAAAAACCAATATCATACTTAAATATACAAAGTACCCTCATGCAGCCTAAATTTTGAATGTCAATGTTCATTTTTTATCATATATTTTTAGCTCAATTAAGACAATTATATTGATAAAACACATGTTTCTAACTATCTTGCTCACTGGGTAAATGAAAACACCACGTGGTCGTACAGGATTGGTCTTATAACATCAACATTTCATCTACTACGGTAATATTCGTATAAAATATGATGGCTATAAACAATAAAAAAATAACAATATTTGTTATCAATTATATATGTCCTAATAAGCCTATAATTTTTATACCCTTTTATTAGAATTAATTTCTTCCGGGTTCGTTTCACACACGCTATAGTCAAACTACAAAATAGGCCTATTCATTTCATTTAGGCTATTTATCTATTCAATTTATTGTAATATTTATTTACTTCCCTGTCTCTTATACACATCTGGTCAGGGAAGGTTAAACTGGTTCAACTATTGGCTCTTATATAACCTTCATTTGGACGTGCTTCATAAATTGAATATGCGCACACCCGTTTTTACATTGAAAGGGTTACCGTACATTACTAATTATGTTGCTCCTTTTGACGTTTTGTTGCCCCGAAAAGTATACTGTCTGACATCTTTACAAAGAATGATCACTGACTTATCTATGCTTTCAGGAAAAGTTTTAAAATTCTGTGAAGTTGGAAACTAACTGAGGCGCCGGTAGCTACTGCCGATTAAAATAGGAGGCGACATTTTTAGGACTTCGCACAAAATGCATATGACCTTTCACATTCGTTTCGTGATCAAGGGAAACGATCAGATGTTCCTATACATGAATAGAACTCTGCTTGACATGAAGTTTCCTTGTTTACATAAGGCCGCTATATTGTTCCTTCAGGGGACTGCCAGATATAATGTGTAGGTGTGTCTATTCCCACTACTACTTTCTTTTAATCTTGTTTTTATTGTTTTAAACACGCGTGAAATAGTATTAGTGAAACCGGGTTTATTTTCAATTACGCGCCTACTCCATAAGAGTAGCAGCGTAAGTAAACTATTGTCTTGAATTATTCATTCATAATCTATACACTAACGGATTCACATGCAATGCTAAAAGTTTATCATATTTTCTTCAGAAATTATGGAGAAGGATTAATTTTATTGCTACAAAAAGTGGAATTTTCATAGCATCAACATCATAGGCCAGACTTAGTGCTTATCAACAAAACCGTAATGTTTTAGTCAGTAAAACAAAGTATTTATTACATTTTAAAAATATATATATACATATATATAAATATATATTATATTATATATATATATATATTTTCAATTTATCGTCGACGAGATCTTGTGGTTTGCTTAGTTGAAATATATTTTGACGGATTGAAACCCGTTAATTGTGGTTGAACGTAATGTGCGCACAGTATCCGGTGTTCACGACAGCGTGTAGGCTGAATTTATCCGTTTTAGATTTAAACGTCACCGCCAATCAGATCTCTCCAATTCAACACAGTTACAGACGATGAGCGAATGATTCAGATGAAGATTGTGCATAAGTTTATGCATGGATTTTAAAGGAGGAAATATACATTTAAAAGCATGAGCAAGTACGTTACAAAACGCCATGATTCTCGTGTCCACATAGTTTAAAGTACTTAGCCTTAATCTTGTCAAAGCAAAACAAAATTAAGAATGGGACAAGTTGTTTAAGTGGGACATAATATTACCTCGGGTTGTGACATTTTGACGCACGCAACAGCTTACTGTGACATTTTTACGACATAATCTGATAGTTACTTACTCTCGCATACACTAAGATTTGTATGTATCGGATGAAGGAAGCTTAAAATTTTAGCCTATTTCAGTTTCCATACAGAGCTATGCACGATAAATACCGTAGCTCTATTAACATGAAATATGTATGAGAAATTGTGTCTGAATATAAAATAAAACGAATAACCTAATTTCTTTACAGAGACATCATGCTAATATTTATCTCCTTTTTCTCTCTGCCCCCCTCCTTCTCAGTTACTCAAATTATATATCGCAGTATCCAATAGTTCGATAATTTTAATATTATTCAAAGAAATATTTCCAAATATTATTAATTAGGTTTATTATATATATTTTTATTATTGTATATGGTGAATCATTTATTATTTCGTTAGTATTATTATTATTATTAGGTTACATTAGTAGTGTGTACATGTATATTTCGATTATTATTATTTCTTCAGTGACATTAATGATTATTAGTACCGTATTACTTATTATTATTGATTAGTATTTATTATTAACAATGAATACCATATTATTAACAATTATTGCCATTGATTATTATTGTTATTAATAATATTATTATTTCTTAAGACTATTTATTGTTTTATTGAGTATTATTGCTATTGATTATTTACTATTATTATTTATTATTGTCATTAATGATTATTATCACACATAGAATAGGATAGAATTATCGATTATTATAATTATAATAATTATTATTATTTATTACGGTTATTGTTTATTTGATACTACGTCGTTCTTTATTAGAAAATGACCGTATGTCACATGTCTTTTCAAATCTAGATACGAGTGATTCATTCGCACATTAAGAAAAATGCCTTTGGACGTCACATCACTGTCCGATGATCAGTTTATTTGAATTTTCGGTTGTTACTTGTTGAAAAGGATAATGTTTCAAGTGTCCATTACACACTCGCTTATAGTTAAAAATGGAAATTTCTATTAACTAGCTTATGTAATTATTCTAATTTATTAATTTCCTTTACGGGGAAATTTGGTTTAATCAGTGTAACAACTTGATTAATTCAACCACGATATGGGCCTAACTAACCAGAACCTAAAATCAAAGATAAAGTAAACCCTTGATAGCAGTTATTCTTTTACGGTACTAAAATCTGATTAGTGGATTTTAATGACAATCAGGAATACAATACCGTATGACATTTCAGTATAAACTTAAGCTAAGGGTTATTATTTCTTTACTGACATTATTAATGATTATTAGTATTAATTATTATTATTGATTAGTATTTATTATTATTAATGAATACCATATTATTAACAATTGTTATTGTCATTGATTATAATTATTGTTATTATTATTATTATTATTATTATTATTATTAATAATATTTGTTAAGACTATTATGGTTTTATTGAGTATTATTGTTATTGATTAAAAAAATGTTAATGATCCTTAAATTTAGCCAAACAAATTTTGTCTGTCTATTAAATTTCTTGATCATTCTCAAAACCGATTAAAATAACTGTCGTGTAAGCCGATTTTTCTCGTGGTAGCAAAGCAGATAATCTTAAATATTGCGCTGGTTTTTATGTTTATTCTGCTATACATGATATCGCCATAATGCTGATGTTCATAGTTTGATTCAAATAGTGTCGATATAATATCTCAACGAGTTTCCGTTTTCGTTTGTTTTTTCGCCCGTGAGGACACTTCATTCCTAACCAAAGATGTCAAAGATAAACTTCGATTTGGTCGTGACTCTATTCTTCGTTATGGTCATTTTAACATAACAAATATGTTCACCTTTGAAAACACAATCTTGTCCTAACCCGAGGGCTGATGAACCCTTCCAGGTGCTGGTCATCCTAGCCTAGGGGTACTTGAACCAGTGGCCACTGGGGTCTGGGAGAGACTATCTCACCACAGCTTGACATGCTATGACCCTAGAAAAAAATAGTTTGAAGCGGCGAAAACATCGCCCGAAGAACATATCTTTCTTGAACTGGACACTGTCATATTCAATTAAGCCTCTATCCGTTTGCCATCGAGAAATTATTTTTAAGCTTCGCAGCTGAAATGATAATAATACAGAGTATGTGAACACTTTATGGAAACCGGTTCAACGCTTGATTCACCTTAGTAGCGTCTAGGCCTACATTGCAGAAATAGCGAAAAGCTAAATCTTTAGGCAGGACCATGTATGATATCTTGGCAATACCGGTTAGGATTATAATTTTGACAAGCATATTTTAGCAGTTAATTAACTTGATAATATCAGTTATCTGAGTCACTAGGGCGTTGGGAGAAGCAGAACCCGGCTGATTCTTGATTCGTCAATCAGGCACACGTAATAGTAACATCTTAAAAGTTGGTAGGTGAGATCACCTCTTTGAAATTTAAATCGTCGACACAGTGTTTGTTTTTGTGTCTTTTCACATTAAAAAAAAATCAATTTCACATCAGTTTAAATATTATTAGGCTAGACTTCTTAGTATTAATTAGATCTAGGTATAGGCCTATTAGTAGGCCTATTGTTAAAAAAAAAAATCGGCGATAATGTGTGTTAGAAGGAAAAATGTTTTTATTTATTTATCAATATTTAAGCGACTCATCCCACCAATAGAGATGGTCATTCAGGGATTGATTGGGAATAAGGAGTGTTAAACAACAGTGCACCATGGAGGAAAGCAGATAACTACCAGGATCTAATTATTCTATGATGTACAGTATCACAGTTATAATTACCACCTTTACCCAACTGACTGTTACACAACAAATGAGATATGAACATGACGATAAGCTTACAGTAGCCCTCGCAAGAGAGATACCGTACCATTGACGAGCATGCTAATAATGTATACGGAGCATCAAACAACTATCAATTCCCCTGAACCGACTTTATTTGCCAATCAAGTACACAATTAAGTTGTCATCTACAGAAACGAAAATTACAATCGGCAGGATCCATCGCTATAAGGGCTTCAGATCTTAAGTGCCACAGCCGGGGCTGTGGGCCTCCATTTTCCGCTGGCAATATACATGTGTTTGACACATTGCTACCAACCTTAAGAAATGTTAACAGCTGTACTAGTCTATATGAAATATTATACAAAATCGATAAATCGCCTAGAAAGTAAAAATATGTGGTTGGCTACTGAAATGAGCGAAGACAACTATATAGGCCTATCAGATCTGCAGGTAGGCTACGCGAAACAAATAGAAGACAGGCGATGAAATTGATTGTAATATTATAGGTTTCTCTATTGAAACACTACGTTATTAACGTAACGCCCAGGACAATGGATTTGTCGTCATCGTTCACGATCAGAAACACCTAAGTAATTATGAGAACTCCAAAATCTATGCACCAATGTTAAATGCAAGTGCGTGCGGTCAATGAACATTGATTATGTATTTGACAACTTAGAGCAGGCATTCTGTGTAATGATGACGCTTCGTTTAGACTGATACTAGAAACCAATTGAGCTGTTAATAATGCATACGGCATAAATACATCCATTTTGACATGTACTTAGAGTTTGGCTCACATATCGATGATCGATCTCTCCCTGCTTGAACGAAAGTCCAATGGGATTTCATTGATGAAAATTTTAGGAAAACGCTTGCGCCGCCAAGAGACTACCCGAGCGCGAGACAGAACAATACGTGGCGCTGCCGCGTCGAATTCTAACGAACGATTTACTATAGAGAGCGAAAGAGGCGCCTTGGTATAAAAGAGATACGGCTAATGAATAAATTAAAATACTCATTTATTGGCAGGTGTCTATAATTTACACCTGGGTAGCCATCGCAATTCCCACGGGATCATCAACGATTGAGGTATAAATTCCAATTGGAGGAAATCATAAATATAAATATCAATTTACATAAGACTAGCTGTTGATGACGAATATGTTTATGTTTTGCTGTCAGCTCACTGAGAGACACTAGTAACTTGTTCATTTAATTTCATATGGCTAGGCCTATGCCGGTTGTAGGTATTAATAGACCTACAACGAATATCATAGACCATTATTTTTTTAATATTTGATATTACAATACTTTCCATTGCGTCCGCCTGTACCCTTAAAGAATGCTACTTAAAACGAGTCAATAGGCCTTTATAGTATATGGATATTATGCTACATGACTTAAAACCATTACCGGCAGGTGTGAGAATTTATATTTCAGACATTTTTTATCGAATAAATGTTGTATAGGCCTAATTATAGAGCCATATGTAAAATGCAATCCTCAGCAAAACGAAACTGTCGATCGATTATTAGAGCATTATTACATCTGAAAAAGTGGTCTGATATAAAATTAATCAAGAAAAAAAAATGTTACGCCCAAGAGAGAAACACAAGAGGATTTGTATCCTTGTCGTGCTTAATTGTTCATGAATGGTTGGATGTCTGAGTTTGGTCAACACCACTTCAATTTGCAACTAGGAAATGTACGATGAAACATTAGCATTTGTTTTAATTAATGGATAAATTTTCAAGGGTAACTTTGAATTTTTAACGAATAAGAAGAAAAACCGTTCACAAAGATAACATCGAATTTGCCAAGTTAAATTCAACATATTTATTGAAGAAACTCATAACAAGCACTGTTAATGCCTAATGGATTTGGTTTGCTTTTTAGTCTATTATAATGAAACAAATAATAAGGAAAGTCGTATGCAGTTATTTATTATATAGTGTATATATCTGCTGTTGTTTTTCATGGAAAGAAACAGATCTTTGGAAGCACTATCATTATATTAGGTTGGTATCGGAAGTGACTAGGAGGGCGGTATAGTATGTGATGCAATTCCTGTAACATCTTTTACAACCAAAAATGTGTTAAATACTGTAGCTAATGCAAAGCAGGCTAATTTAGACCAATCAATGCATCGCCTTTCCTGACGAATCCAACGATAAAGTTTACCTTCATCGTTCTTGGAGTCTGCGCATATTGACATTTCGGCCGTTATAAAACCGTCACCATGGCTCGATATTGTTTGATGTTCTGCCTTTCTGAGATAAAAAAATCAAAGGACCTTGTGCTCTGCAAATAGATGGGTTAAGACTACACGGCGTCGTGCTGCAGAAGGGGGTAAAGTTGCCCCTATCGATCAGTAGGCCTAATTCTTTGGATGAGTCAGGGTGTAGATTGTTAAGACCTCTCATAATGGCTTATATGCATTATGCTATGTGACAGTTCGTATCGTGATGCCTGACACATCGTTACTGCTTGACAATGATGTTTCGTTTTTAAACTTACCTTATTGTTTGAATCGTTTAGAAATAAGTGGGAACAATTTCTACAGTAAACTTTATAAAAAGAAGTATATCATTTAGATAAAAAAGTAAGGGTTGTTT